TGAACCATATCTTTCAAAGATCCTAGAGAACCAGGGAACTAACAGAGGACTGGAAAACAACTGATGTGGTTTTCATCTTCAAAAAAAGGGGGAGAGGGAATGACCCAGGAAACTACAGACCAATCAGGTTGACATCAAAACATGGGAAGATCCTGGAAAAGATAATCAAGCAGTCTGTAGAGATCATCCAGGTCATGGTTGTCCCAAAGGTGCTTTTTCAGGAGGCAACTGGACTTTCTTGTTTTTTCTTTTGAAGACATTTCGCTTCTCATCCAAGAAGTTTCTTCAGCTCTGGCAGGATACTGTCAGAGCTGAAGAAGCTTCTTGGATGAGAAGCGAAACGTCTTCAGAAGAAAAAACAAGAAAGTCCAGTTGTCTCCTTTTTTCAGGTCAATCAAGCAATGGATCTGTGAACACCTAGAAGCAAGCAAAGCTATTACTAGAAGCGAACATAGGTTTGTTGAAAAGACATCAGGCCAAACAAATCTTATTGCATGCTTTGACAATGCAATTCTTTCACCAAATTAGTGAATCAGCGAAATGCTGTGGACATACTTGCACTTCAGTAAACCAACTGACAATGTAAACGATAACCTACTTCTTGGTAAGACAGAAAAATGTGGGATAGATAGCATCACCACAAGATGGATTCATAACTGACTGACCAACCGCACTTGGCGTGTAATCCTCAATGAAACTATATCCAATAAGTGAGATTTTACACTTAAGCAAGAAATACCAAACACACAGGCATAGAATAACAATAGCTCTTAGATTTATATACTACTTCACAGTGCTTTACAGCCCTCTCTACCAGTGGTGAAATCCAATTTTTTTTTTCTGTGGGTGTGGCTTGGTGGGCATGGCAGGGGAAGGATACTGCAAAATCTCCATTCCCACCCCACTATGGGGCCAACCAGAGGTGGTATTTGCAGGTGCTCGGAACTACTCAAAATTTCTGGTACCAGTTCTCCAGAACCTGCTGGATTTCACCCTTGCTCTCTACCCAGTTTAAAGAGTCAGCATATTGCCCCCAACAATCTGGTTCCTCATTTTACCGACCTCGGAAGGATGGAAGGCTGAGACAACCTTGAGCCACTCAGAGTCGAACTCCTGGAGTGAGCAGTGAGTTAGTCCTGCAGTACTTCCTTTTAACCACTGCGCCACCACGGCTCTAGAATAGTGGCTCAATATGAGTAACTGTGAGAGGAATGCAGGAATCCTAGGGAACAACCACTTTAATACGAGCCTGCAATGTGCTGCTACTGCCAAAAAAGCCAGTGCAGTTCTAGGCTGAATTAAGAGAGGAATAGTATCAAGATCATGTGAAGCATTAGTATCTCTATATACTGCACTGGTGGGGAGGTGGTGGCTCAGTGGCTAAGATGCTGAGCTTGTCGATTGAAAGGTCGGCAGTTCCGTGGTTCGAATCCCTAGTGCCGCGTAATGGGGTGAGCTCCCTTTACTTGTCCCAGCTTCTGCCAACCTAGCAGTTCGAAAGCACGTAAAAAATGCAAGTAGAAAAATAGGGACGACCTTTGGTGGGAAGGTAACAGCATTCCATGCGCCTTTGGCATTGAGTCATGCCGGCCACATGACCACAGAGACATCTTCGGACAGCGCTGGCTCTTCAGCTTTGAAACGGAGATGAGCACCGCCCCCCAGAGTCGGGAACGACTAGCACATATGTGCGAGGGGAGCCTTTACCTTTTTATACTGCACTGGTGAAACTACTCCTCAAATATTGCATACAGTTCTGGTCACCATAATACAAAAAAAGATGTTGAGACTTTAGAAAGAGTGCAGAGAAGAGCAATAAAGATGATTAGGCAGCTGGGGGCTATGAGGAATGAATGCAGTAACTGGATATGTCTAGTCTAACAAAGAGAAGGATAGGGGTGACATGATAACAGTCTTCCAATATTTGAGGGGCTGCCACAAAGAAGAGGGGGTTGACCTATTTTCCAAAGCTGAGGGCAAGACAAGAAGTACTAGATGGAAACTTATCAAAGAGAGATTCAATCTAGAACGAAGGAGAACTTTCCTGACAGTGAGAACAATTAATCAATGGAACGCCTTGCCTTCAGAAGTTGTGGATGCTCCATCACTGGAGTGATTTGACAGCAATTTGTCTATGGTTTTCTGCTTGGGTGGGGGTTTGGACTTGAAGACCTCCAAAGTCCCTTCCAATTCTGTTATTCTGTTAATAATTGTTATCCCAAAAGTGCTTTCTCGAGTGGACTTTGTTTTTCTTTGAGGACAATTCACTTCTCATCCAAGAGGCTTCTTTAGCTCTGATGGGTGAGAAGCGAAACATCCTCAAGGAAAAACAAAGTCTATTTGCCTTTTGAAAAAGCTTTTGGGACAAGCGTGACCTGTATGACTGAGAATCTCCATAGACATTTAATAATGGTTACTTTTTCCTGACTGTAAACAAGTTTCGTTATAGCTTCATTACATGACTGTGGGCTGCAGCTACCCAACAAAACCTTTGCAGCTTTCCTTCCATGAACCCACTGTTTCTTCTGCCAGGGTCGCACTCCCCTCAGCATCATTTGGTGACCTGCTCTGATTTTTAATCACCCACAACACCCTGACAAAATCCTAAGAGAACATATAAACTAGAAACACAGGGAATAACAGCCCTGAGTTGCAAATTACCATTCCGCATCTAAAGATGGAGGCCTGAGCATCTGTCCTTCACCCTCCTGTCCCCTGATTTGAGAAACGCAGTAACTTCTGCAGTCATCACTATGAGTCTTTACCTCACATTGCTCATCATTTGCAGATAAAATCCAATTAAAAAGCCAGCTAACCCCCTCCATTTACATTTCAAAATCACCCTGTTCTCAGGCATCTTTAATTATTCATCCTGCCAATTAAAGTTATGTTCAGTTGATGCTTCCTGAGTCTCCACTCGTCTTGCAACCAAATAATAATCTACATTCTATGCTTTACATCAAAAACAATGTAGTAACCTAATATTGTACTAGGCCAGGGGTGTTAAACTCAAATTCATTGAGGGACGCATCAGGGTTGTGTTTGACCTTGAGGGGCTGGGATGGGCATGGCCAGGGTGGGCGTGGCCAGTTCAATGTCACTCATGTTGGGAGCGCCTGTGGTGGCCCGAGCACTCTGCCAGCGAAAACAGGCTCCCGAGCTCCGTTTTCGGCTGCAGTGGTCTCATGCAAGCTCGGTTTTCACTGGCAGAGGCACTGCAAGCCGTTCCTTTGCTGTTTTCAGGGCAGCCCCGCGGACCAAATCTAAACACCCCACGGGCCAGATCCGGCCCCTGGGCCTTGAGTTTGACATCCCCGTACTAGGCAATACTCCACTGTGGTAAAATGCTGGACATTATCTTGTTCTGATGGATAAAGAAGCAATAACCAAGTTAATACAAATCAAATGTAGGCAAATATACATGTCTCAGGATAATGTTGCAGGAGCCAATCTGGGTCAGTCACCAGAACCAGAGGTTCTGTCTTCCGAGCTTTCGGACTCGTGCTGGAGCCCATCTTCAGGGAATTTCTCCCTCACCAGAATGTATAATACAAGTATACAAATCTTAATACAAATCTTTTTTTTTATTCGTGTCAGAAGCATTACAAACTATAGACAAATAACAGTCAGCACTGAGCAAATAAAATAGGTATAAAATGGGTCATAAAAATATGTAAAATACGTAGGATTGAAACAAAATGACATTCACCCAGTATCGGACGACATCAACAGCATTTTCTCTCGCCAACATGAGGTCTCCATACATGTTGAAGGACATCGTATCTACCAAAGCATAGGTGAGACAGGTTGTTCGTCTCCACATTCACACACAAAATTGATGTTCAATGCAGTGATATTTACAGTTTATTTTTATTTTTTTATATTTTTATATGCTGCCCTTCTCCGGAGACTCAGGGCGGCTTACAATGCGTTAAGCAATAGCCTTCATACTTTTTTGTATATTTTATACAAAGTCAGCTTATTGCCCCCACAAACCGGGTCCTCATTTTACCCACCTTAGAAAGGATGGAAGGCTGAGTCGATCTTGAGCCTGGTGAGAATTGAACTCGCAGTAATTGCAGGCAGCTGGATGTTAAATGCTGCCTTAGTAGGAGGCATTACCCTCCTACGCCACTCAGGCTCAATACAAGTTAATACAAATATCACTGAATTTAACTGTCATTTTTGCAAAGTGTTTTCAAAGGCTGTTCCACATATGTGATATATGACATTAATTGGAGTGGTCCAACTTACTATAAATTTATCAGGTGGGGTTCTTGCTGAGAACAGGCCAGTCTAAAGAGGTTTATTCTAAATTTATCATGAAATTGCCATTTTAGCAATTTAAATGGTTTTAGCTGAACTCTAGGATTATTCCATCACTAGGTGATCATGTCTGAATACTCCATGATGGAAACATTTAACCAAGTATGACAATCTTGTCATAAATATTACAATACCCTTACCTAGATTTGTGCTTGTTACCATTGCAAACTTTCTGTTTTACGGTTAAAAGATACTGTATTTTTTCTAGTCAAAGTATAGTCAGCCAAGAAATGTGTAGGGTTTTTTTTTTTCTCATCTTATTAAAGACTGGGTAACTTATTAATTATTGTCAAGGCCTGTTCTGTTTTCCAATGATCAAATAAAGTTTATTCCTAATTAAATGTGTTTTGCATCAGGGGGGCTGCAGAAAATCCCATGCTATTCTTGTCGTGGTGTGGGTGATAAGATTCAGATGACTTCATGGTTGAAAACTGCAACCCCCCTGGGCATATTTGTCCTTTTACTTGATTTGGCCAAGCATTTGTTTTCTCTTTGTAACTTGTCATGTTTCCATATTTGTGACACTTAAAATGATTGAAGAGAAGAACATTTTGAGGTTCAAGGAATATGCCTGGGCATCTAAAAAAAAGCAAGACTGTCAAATTATTACTGTGCATCCGGGGTCAAAAATGACCCAGCTGTATCACTGTTGTCCATCCCTCTTTCTTTGCCAGTGTTTGGACAGAAGAGACCCAGTGCACACTCCTCAACATCTCCATCACGGAAACCTTTAACTGCTCGTTCAGCTGTGGTCCGGAGTGCTCGAAAAACTCTCAGTACCCCTGCTTACAGGTCTATGTCAATGTTTCCTCTTCAGGGCAAAAGTACCTACTTTACCACACAGAAGAAACCATCAAGATTAATTCTGAGGTAAGAACATCATCCGTTGTCAAAAGAAATGCACTCTTTGTGGTATGGGAGGGATGAGATTCGGGGTGTTCCATTTTTTGAGTCATTGCTGTCCAGATTCATGGAATCTGATTGTCCTATGTGCAATTTAATCCCTAGCTGTGTTTATTTTATTTCTGATTGAAATTTCTAGTCCTCCTGGCTTTATACACCATGAAAAATAGAGAAGGCATACAATATCTGAGCTGCAAAACTCCAATCAACCATTGAATGACAGTAGTGTTTATGTATTTCTTTGCTGTGATTTAGTGGTTCCCCAAAGGGTAGCATTAAATATCTATATTTGTGGAATCCTTGGTGTTCTCTGAGCTTGGTTGTTTTCTTGCAGACATTTCATCATGATGATGTTACCTAGTCAGGTAATGAAATGTCTGCAAGAAATATATATGTCAGTTTTGGAAGACAGTTCCTAACTGCCACATATTTTAGCCTGGGAACTTGGGAGGGGGGTTTTGTTGGAGCGGTAGAAAGTTAGTCATAACAACATTCAGTATTGAGGGACACATTTGCCTGCATCTGCTGGAGACCTGCCTGGAGATTGTATCCAGTTGAATGTGAAGAGTTGATTGGACTATGTCCGTGATGGCGAACCTATGGCACGGGTGCCACAGGTGGCACATGGAGCTATATTGGTGGGCACGCGAGCTCAGCTCCGGCACACATGCATGCATCAGCCAGTTGATTTTTGGGCTTCTGGGCCCACCAGAATTCAAGAAACACGCTGTTTCCGGCCTCTGGAGGGCCTCTGGGGAGGGTGGGAAAGGCCGTGTTTGCCCTTCCCAGGCTCCTAGAAAGTCTCTGGAGCCTGGGGAGAGCAAAAAATGGGCCTACCGGGCCCACGTGCCATTAAGTGCCAAAAGCAGGGGGAACATGGGGGGACGGGGCGTATAGAATTATGGATGTGGGCACACGTGCGTGTAAACACCCACCCACCTGCACTCCCCCCATTTTTGGCACACAACGGCAAAAAGGTTAGCCATCCCTGGACTATGTGATGACCTTGTGGCTGTGGGGCAGGGCTGTGAACTGTTAGCTGGGTGGAGAAAACCTGGAAGGTTTCAGATTCAGGTTTTCCCAGATGTGCCAACATGACATCTCTAATAAATTGGAACTTTGAGGAACCTCAGGCCTTGGGGGTTTTATTTTGTTGGGGGTGTTCCTTGGAACCCTGACAATATATATAGGATATACATATAGAACAGGGGTGTCAAACTGGATTTCATCAATTTCAGCATTGTAGTTCTCCACCGCGGGCCGGCCAGAGGGGAGATGGGACAGCTACGGGGGAGATGGGACGGCCACGTGGATGGCCTCTGACAGTACTTTGCCAGCCAAACCAGGCTGCACAGGAGCTGCACACAGCCCCCCGTGCCCCGTTTTGGCCAGCAAAGTGCTGATGGAGGCCATCCAGTCTGAAAACGGGCCACACAGGCAGCTCCCCCCATGCCCCATTTTGACTGCCAGAGGCACCACCGGCTGGTCCTTTGCTATTTCCAGGCCGGCCCCACGGGCCAGATTTAAGCACCCCGCAGGCCGGCTCCAGCCCACAGGCCTTGAGTTTGACATCCCTGATATAGAATATAGAAGTATAGCCAGCCTCATCCTAGAGATTTAGACTAGGTGGTATTCCAGAAATATACAAGAGAAGGGGAAAAGGTGTTCTATAGAGAGCGTGAATACATATATTGCACATCTGAACTCTTTAACTCATCTTTTCCTGGGCTCACACAACTTTTGATTCAAGGAAGTACCTAGACAAATCATCTTTTCCTCTTTAAACCCAGATCACACGCCAGCCCTAATATAACACCCTAATAATATAGGCTTGTCCATTTAAAAAAAAAAAATCCAAAAATTAAAAAAAACTTGTCTTCTATAATCCCTTATCTAACCTTGCAGCAAAGTCCCCCCTCCCCTTTGCTAACCCACACGGGGGCTCATGTATCACACTAAATTATAAATACATCATTAGATTTCAGCTTCTGTATTTTGTGAAGCAAGTCATTATAGTTTATAAACCATAAGTAGCCTAGATTGATGTATGGGCAGAGCCACTGTGGTTTATTCCACAAGGCATGATTAAGCAAACCATTAGTGTGATGCATGAAAGGAAGGCTAAGTTGATTCAAATAAATTTGGTAAGTGCTTTACACAAAGTCAGATCAATGCTTTGTCCAGCTCATAAGTGCCTTTAGGTGGACTGGCAACACTTCTGCAGAGCTGATGTCCATTCAAAGATGCTAGATCAGGTGTCAGCAACCCACAGCTCCAGAGCCACATGCAGCTCTTTTGTCCCTCTGCTCCCTATTGGGTGATCCCACCACTGGCTGGACATGCCCCTCACTCTCCCCTCCTAGTCACTCCTCACCTGGCTTAAGAAGGTAAGGGTGACGGCAGGGGATAGAGACTCACTTCATATTCCAGAGCAGGAGCAAAGGCACAGATTTCCTCCGCCTTCTGCGTTCCCACCCCGCACTGAAGCAAACCAAACAGGCCTCCTAAGCAGTCCTGCCGAGCCCGCTTGTAAACTCTGCCGAGCATGGCTCCAAACATTCAGCTCCTGTGTCCCTCCTGGCTCCATCCCTCCTGGCGCCCACCTCCACCCAGATGGCTGATCCCTCCCTCCTGGAGCAAGGGGGCACCCACCCGCCGACCTCTGCCCGCTTCTTGCCACTGCCGTCTGGCCCCCCTCTGCCCAGGAGGTCCTGTGCTACCATCTTGTCGGCTGGCAGGGAACGCAGTGGTGCCAGCAGCTGGAGCCTTCCCAGGGCTGAGTGAGGAGACCCTGCTGGGGCTCCCCACAAGCCACAGCGGCCGCATGAGCCCCTCAGCAGTGCCTCTGTCAGGCTAACCTCTATATCTGCATATAGAGGCTAGCCAGCACCATTGCAGCGGTGGCGATGGGAAGGTGCACGCCCTGCCTGCTCCGCTCTCACCGGCCAAAGATTGGGCTCTGCGCCACTGCCTCCCAGCTGGAGGGCCATGATTGTTTGCTTGCTGGCTGACCGCCTCTGAAGAGCTGCTCTTGGGCTGCCCGGGCCCCTGCCATGGGGGGAGAGAGGGAGAGGGAAGGGGAGTGTCTCCCCGACAGAATCTGGGTTGGAGTTGCCTTATTTTGTGTGGATCTCCAACACTTGACTTTGCCTGCCAGCCTCCACTCCCCCTCCACAACCCAAATGGTTGGATTCACACAAACATGAAGCTGGGCAGGAGAGCATGGATGGATGGATGGATGGATGGATGGATGGATGGATGAGACAGAGAGAGACAGAGACACACAGAGAGAGCGCGCGCAGAGAGCAGAGAGAGAAAGAGAGTATCTCTCTGAGAGGCAGAGAGAGAGAAAGAGAGGCGGAGAAAGAGAAAGAGAGCAGACAGAGAGACAGAGAGAGCAGACAGAGAGAGAGAGAAAAAGAGAGCAGAGAGCAGAGAGAGAGAGAGAGAGAGAATCTCTCTGAAAGGCAGAGAAAGAGACAGAGCAGAGAGCAGACAGAGAGAGAAAGAGAGAGAGACAGAGAGATAGAAAGAGAGAGAGGCAGAGACAGAGAGACAGATACCCGTTTCCCACAGAAAAGAAAACACCAGGAGGCACAAAACCTGGGTAGGTGTGGCTATCGCAGTCATTGTGACTGCGGGGGAGTGAATGACTTCGAGTTGGCCACGCTCCCCCAGGTTTTGTGGCTCCCGGTGTTTTCTTTTCTGTGGGAAACGGGTCCAAATGGCTCTTTGAGTGTTTAAGGTTGCAGACTCCTGTGCTAGATGCACACTAGGAACTTTTTTTCCCCTCAAAAAGTACCCTTGAGAATATGAGCTACACCTTTTATGCTGAAAATATAATGGGAGTTACAAATACAGAAATTCACACTTTTTATGGACTGCGTGGACAGCTATGTCATATTATTCTGCACGTCACACTTCCAGTCTGTTGTTTGCAGTTTTTCCTCCAGATGGCCATTTGTCTTTCTGTGCATGTGTAAAGGGGCACTGGAGGTCCTTTGATTTTGCATGGATGGCATTGACGGAAACTATCTGTTCATTATCTGCTTTCAGTCACACAATGATACAAAAGTCCTTGCTACATAGACAGCTAATTGCTTGAGATAGGGCAAAATCAGAAGCCCAGTCCCTCTGATTGTCAGCAGATGTATAATTGCTGCTGTCAAGCATAACAGATTTGTGCATCGGTCTGCTGCTGTTTTGTTTCTTTGTGAGACATTGTTGTCATACACAAAAAGAGACCAGTTCTATTTCAACAATCACTCTGTGAGCTGGGAAATGCTGACAGCTTTCGTATGCAATGAGCTTGGTCCAAGCACACCAGGGTTCTCAGTGCCTCTGGCCATGTGATGTTATGGTCATAGCTGTCTTCTCCAAATAGTGCTCTTCAGATGAGTTGTATTACAACCTCTACCATTCTTGACCAGCCTAGGCTGGTGAATTGCAGAGGTTGTAGGCCTAGAATGGTGTTTCTCAACCTTGTTGTGGCTCCATTACCTGAGCCTGGGCTATCGACAGATGCAGACTCTGAGAGTGAGGGAGTTGGCAAGGCCTCCCTCTCCAGGACCCTCCTCTCTGGCAATGCCTCCGGAGGACACCGAAGGCCAAAAGATAGGCTCAGAGCCAAGCACGTCCCCGCAGCCACAGGTGGACAGCGACAAAGAAGATAAGTGTTGGCTGGACCCTTGGCAGAGGCGCAGGGAGAAGCGTACACAGCAGAGGGGAAGGTGTGCCAGAGATTAGCTGAGTCACTGGACCACACCCCACAGGGTATAAATGTGGGTGTGGTGGCCAGTTCAGTTTGTGACGAGCAAAAACTGGAAATAATCCATGATCTCTGTGTTACTGGACTTTGCCTGCTTTATCGGACTGCATTTGGATTAATCCTTGTATTGTTGAAACTCTGCCTGTTTTATCGGAATGCTTGCAGTCTAATCTTTGTTTTGTGTGAGTAAAGTCTGAAC